AACAAGAAACATGTTAAATTCTATTATATAAAAAAATTATACATTATAATCCAACTGTCTATAAACTAATAACATTTACAAAACTATGAGATTAAAAAAAATTATTTTTCAACAAGTTTACACAAGACAGAACACAAGGAATCACGGAAATTCATAATTTCATCAAAACATTGATCATTAGTTTCATAATGTCCATATGTCTCCATTAAAAAATCAATAAAACTCCTTATTATGTTTCTCAGCAATAATAACATTTCCCAATCACTGGAAAAAAAATCTTATTACAAAAAATAATCTGGTACAAATATGAACTACTCTTCAACCAAGAAACAAATATATATATAAGAGGAAAATAGTAAGTGCAGAAATTGTATAATAGACCAAATATTATAGCATTTTAGCAAAAAAATCACAAAAAATAAAAAAATTTAAAATGATTAAAATATTCAAAAACATTAATCATTATTCATTTTATATACAATCTATTCTTGAATCTTTAGATGTACAGATCAAATGTATAGCCAACTTGATTGTTTTATTCTGTAGGCTATAATAATTTACAAATGCTATAGAATCTATACCATACACCTAACCAAACTTGTATTAAATGATGATCCTGAATAAGATATTACATAGGCACAAATGGGGCGGGGCTTTAAAACCCTCCCCATTCAAAAAAAATCTAGCACATACAATTTCATATTATAAATATCTGATTGCCTTATCAGTCTCCTCCCCCTCTCAAATCAAAAAATGAAATTGTGCCTATGGAAATATACCTAGTTTAATTTAATTATATTATAATGCATAAAATATTTTAAAAGAACTATAAAATCATTAACTTGATTTTATACAATACATTACTTACCCTTTAGAACAAGAAATATTAACACGCTTTCCATTTTGTATGTATATCAAACAATTGTTGTGTCCATCCTGTGGTAAAAATGTATTTGAAATGGTGAATAAAAAATAAACTATAATGTATCTAAAACTATTTTAATTTTAAACTTACATGCTTAAATGATGCTTGACCATTAAAAAACAACACAGCAAATATTGGAGGGACATATGAAGATTTATTAAGCATTACAACATCATGGTCAAGAGATCTACCTTCTCTAAAATAGGTTAATAACTCATTTTCTTTATCTTTATTATAATTTACACTTTCTGAATGATGTACAACTTTTATTCCAGCACTAAAAAAAAAAAATAAGTAGCATAAAATTTAAATTATTTGTAAATATTATAAATCGCATACTCGTTAATAAATGTATAATCTAAACGTCCATTTCGTCGCATAAATGATCTTCTGAAAACTAAATTTCCAAATCCAGAAAGTAATATAGCTGGTATAAGCTGATCTAAGGATTTTTCAGAGTTGATATTATTTATGTCTTTGTCTTCAACAAGCATACTATTGTACAAATGTTGTATAAATAAATTTTTCAATTCTGTAAAAAAATGTAAATAACACTAAGTTTAAGAAACTCAAAATAATATATCTATTGGATATTTWTGATGTATTTTTTTTAAATATATAAAAATAATAACTAATTAGTAATAAACTAAATAAATTTAATACTCACTATATATAAGTGTAAGATTATTTCTTGATAATGAAGAATTACTGTTATTGTTATAATGGTTATTT